CAACAGAGCATCATCCCCTCTGTCCCCAGCACCCTCCCCATCCCTACCACACCTCACAGTGCTTGCCGGGGTTCATAGGGGAGCCCAGGGGGCAGCCAAAATGTTCCACAAAGTCCCGGGAGTTGCTGAGGGTGCCGATGACGCGGTACTTGTCAGGGACTCTCGGGTGTCCGGACAGAGCACCACACCTGCCAGAGCAGGAGCGACCTCAGAGATGGGGGGCAGAGGCCCCCCCAGGTGTGATGAGGGGCCTTGAAGTGGCTCCAAGGGGCTGGGGATGGAAGAGGAAACCACCATCCTGCTCCACCCCACCTGTGGCCAGCCCACCAAGAAAGAGGAAACCACCATCCTGCTCCACCCTACCTGTGCAAAGCCCACGAAGAAGAGCTGGTGGTTGGTGAGCCCCAGGGCTGGCAGGCGCTTCTCCTCCCCGTTCTTCTCCAGCCAGGACTTGTACGCCTGTGGGAGAGATGCCCTGAAGGCGCCAGGAGGGACGGACAGGCATGGGGGTCTGCATCCCCTTGGGACAGTGGCACTCACGTTGTAGGCTGCCTTGAGCCCGCCGTTGTCAGCGATGTTCTCGCCCAGCGTCTGCCGACCGTTGACCTTCTCGTGGTGGACAGTGTAATGGCCGTACTGCTCCGTCATGCATGCCGTCCGGTTCTTGAAGGCCTCCAGAGACGAGTTCTGCCACCATGGCCGCAGGTTGCCTTCCTTGTCATACTCCCGCCCTGCAGGACCGAACCGTGGGGTGGGACCCATGAATCCCAGCCCCTTGCAGAGTCCCAGCTGGGGTGGGGTGCAGTGGGGACAGCACCAGGGGACAATGGGGGACCTGGTGCCTTGGTTCCCTGCACAGGGGAGAGGGTGTCCCCCAGCCCCTGCTCCAGGCGGGCTCCAGCTGGGGATCAGCCATGTGCTTGTGTGCTCAACCACTCCTCTGTTGCACCCCTGCTGCCCCAAGCTGGATTTGTCACCCCAAATTACCCCATAGACCCCATCTCAGTTCCAGGGCTGTGGTGAAGGTGCAAAACAGAGTGGATGTGAGAGGGACCCATCCCACGCCCCATGGGGAGGAGGATGAGGAGGGGGCCGGGGCTGCAGACACCATGTCCTCACCAAGCGGATGGAGCGAAAGCTGGACAGAGAAGCCAG